CAGGTGTTAATCAAGTTAAATCCCAACAGCCAATCAGCAAGAAATGCTCTGTGCAGGTGGAAATGCTCTGTGCAGTCTGTTAATCAAGTTAAATCCCAACAGCCAATCAGCAAGAAGAATAGAGGAAAGCTGCATGCCTATTGGTTGATGCCCTGCATTCCATTGTGATGACTCATGCCCAAACGTGGTAAACAAGGCACACTAACACAGTAATACATTTGCTATAACACAGCCAAAAAACTCAAATAAAACCATTCTAAAAGCCTGTATCACAATAATTTAAAAAACGCCTAGGGGTATTTGCCCACTGTACCTCCATACCAAATTTCAGTACCTCGGGCCCTAAAATGAAGAAGCTGAATCCATTTAAAAAATGGCAGGAGAAGAAGGAGGAGGAGAAGAAACATCAGAAAAAGCAATATGGGTTCACCACCACTTCGTGGTGTGGTGAACCCATAATTAGAGATCTTACTGCTTCTCTTCTGAGCTGGAATCCAACGTGGGAGATAACTTCAAAATCTTCAACAAGTACTACAAGAAAGATTTTATTATTTTTCTGACACTTACATGCCAAGAATATCCTGTATACTATTATACATTTGATATGTAAAAAAATACCTCTAAAAATATTTGGGTGCACCAGTGCACACACAGAACAAGGTTGGGTGCACAGCTGCAAATTTGGGTGCACTAATAAAAATTAATAGTAAATATAAGGTGCACATGCACCCAGTATTTCGAGCCCTGCTTCAGAGAAGCCATGTGACAAGCCTCACTGGGTCAGTCTACTGAGGAAGACCAGAGTGATTTGTGGAAAGCCCTAGGTGTGAACCATTCTTTCTGTTGGAACATAACTTTAAACAGCTAGTAAGAGTAGATGTTTTAACCCTTCATAATTACTGAATCTCCCCTAGCCTGAAGGAGGAGGAGCAGAAACTAGTGAAGATCTCTCCAAATCTGGCAGTGGAGGAGGTAGAGGGGTTACCTGAGGACATCTACACCACTCCTATCAACCTGGCACAGAGTCAGTCTCACCTTCTTTATCTGTCAATCATTTACTGTATTTTACTTTAGGCCATGTTGATTTGATTTCATGTATGACATCCTCTTGGAGCCCCAAAACTGATGCGAGTGTGCGAATAAAAAATGTTGCTTTCATTATGAAATCCATGTGGTCATGAAGGTTGAACAAATGACACAGAGTATGGTTTGGCGAATAATATACCGGTACTGTTTAAATCAATTTCTTCACATTTTCAGCTTTTTCGTTTGATTTTGGCATTCTACGACAATTTGGTATCATTTTTCAATATTTTTTGCAACTTATGGTATACTCATTTTGCAACTGTTTTGTACGATTTACAGTATGGTTGAAAACTTTTTTTTTTCAAAAATTCATGCGCGCGCGGATGTCATCCATATATATTAGGTCAACATGGCCTTATGTTCATGGTAGCAAAATTTCACGGTCTGAGAAAAATGGACAAGTTCACGGAACTATATGTTCACAGTGGCAACAGATGCAGACAAAAGAAAGTTGGCAATTAATTTCATATAATAGTAAAATTATGATAAGTTTGCGGTACAGAAGTGACAGTGAAAACCGGAAGCAAATGTATTCCCTTCATACTCAAAGAATGGTGTTTTCTGTGTAATGTTTCTTGCTTTCTTTATCCTAGGTATAGTTTCTGCTATAGTTTTGATTTTGCATGTTTTATGTTATGACTATTGTTTGTTACCCTATGTAGAAGGCAGTACCCATCCATCCACTGGGACAGGTCTGTCACTGTTGTCTCTCTAGATCTGTTCACCAAATCCTTACTTTGCACTGACAAGGCCACAGCAAGTAGATTTTATGGATTTGATCTGATTTATTGAAATTGCAACAGTGCAATACACGCAGAACAGAGGCAGCTGTTGCTGGTGTTGTGTCCCGCACATAAAAATGAATACTGGACAGACAATACTCATTTTCACTTGAGCCTAGTGGGGAAAGTCGTGTAAAGTGCCTTTCCCAAGGGCACAAGATCGGTGGCATGTCAGGACTCGAACCCGTCACCGCTTGATTCCGAGTCACGCACGCTGTTGTTGCACCACACGACCCCACTGTTTGCTTTAAATTCTATAGATGACATTCTCCAAATCTAATGGGAGAAAAAAACAAGAAGGGCTAAAAAAAAGATCACTTCATTTTCAAATTTTGACATCATAAACCTTGTTAAAGAAGAAATGATACATTATATTGTGTCTACTACCAACTATTACAACATCCTTGTTTCACTGAAACAGCTTTGGAAAATAAAAGTTTTAAAATGATTTTGATTCAGTGGGAACATCACATATAAAAGGAATGAAATACAAATGTACATCAATCCATCGAAGCAAAAGACAAAACATTAAATCAGAGCCTTGTGTTGTCTCCTCTCTTTATAGTTATCTGCCATCCACCTTCCGGCATCTTTGCCCATATTCATCATGTCAGAGGGCAACAAAATTTATTGTTTTTTTTTCCAAAATCAGGCGCACGCTGATGTCATCCTCAAAAAATTACTTGCTGTGGCCTAAACTTAACGTTTGCATGGAAATATTTTATTCCAATCAATGCACCAATCAGGTTTTGGCTCTGCTGTTATTGCAGTAACGTTTAATGAATATTGTGTTGCACGTGGTAAAAACAAAAGATGACAGCTAAAAAAACGATGAAAAAATTGATAAAAAATTTGTTGATTATTGGATAATGTGAAAAGTTAATATTATGTAGGATATTGGTATTTTCTTCTTACACAACTGTTTGCTTAAAAATTTTAATTTTGATTATCTTTACTTTGATATCAATTCTTCTGTGACAAGATTGAATGTGACTCAAATCAGAAATTATCAGCTCATGTTTTGAATAAATGAACTTAAAAGGACTTCCAAGGCAAATTCCTAACAAAAGATTGATTCAAAATCTGACACTTTTCAGTTTGAATCTTCATTTAAAAACCGTGACCAAATTCAGGCAAACTACAGTTAATATTGACATATTAATGCTAAAATCGATTTATTGACATCAATGACTCTTTATCAGGCCACACCAATTTAATTTCTAAGACTCTTGGTTAATGGATTTTCTAGAAAAATAATATTATGGAGGGGGCGGGTGAAAAATAAAATTAAAAACAGGTCTAGGCATCCTTTTATGGCCCCAAATGGTACGATAGGAACCATGAAGTCAACACACTAGGCTGGTTGAAAATTGAAACAATGAATTTTGAACTTTTAATGATGCCACTGCATTGAAAGATGAAATAACTGTAACAACTAGGAAGAAAAGGACTGTTTTTAACTGTTCAGGGCAAAGCATGAGCATTTTGCAGTTGATTCTCAATTTTTTTTTTTTTTTGCCAATCAGAAAAAAATGAAGCGGGCGAATCCGTTAACCAACAAATTAAATTAGTGCGGCCTTATCATGGTATAGAAGCTGATTAAAATTGAGGTAAGTTTATTGACTACTGCTAACTACACAATGTTTTGGAGACTTACCACTTCCTTGTGCTGTCCACCCGACAGTAACGTCCATTGCACAGCGGCTGTCCCAGCCTGATGAACAGCCAACCCTCACCACCAGCCTCTACCCCATTCACAAGCATCTCCTGGTTAAGAGGTCACTTAGGTGCAAGGTAAGCTGTTGATAATAAGGCTAATATAGTATGTTGATTTGATTAAGGATGACATCTGTGCACCCATGAATTTTCATCTATGTCCCCCCAAAACAGAAGAGTTTTTAACCATACTGTAAATAGTACAAAGCAGCTGTAAAATGAGTAAATACATGTGTGAATAAAATTGAACAGAAATATTGGAAAATCAAATGGCTTGTTGCTCTACAATAAAAAAAAATAGTTTTTGCATATCTGTTACAGGAGTGTGAACACAACCTGAGTAAACCTGAGTTCAACCCTGCATCTATCAAGTTTAAGATCCAACTTGTTGCACTGTAAGTATACGTATTGGCACTAACCTGACTAGAACTACATGTATCGCAGAGTGGAACTCGCTGTCACCAAGTACAGTAGGGACATTATCATTAGATAGCTTTAAACAATGTTTAGAGTTAGATGTCCAAGGGTTAGGTGTAACAAGTCGATCGGTGTAATGTAGCCAGCTGCCGCCGCGCCGCATGCCTGCGAAGTTGGTGTGTTACGCCAAAAGGTGGTTATACTGGCTACTCAGATACAGATACCTCACACTTCTAGTAGCCCTTCCACTGGTCAGGCGCCTAGAACTTAGAAGTGGAGGCCCAATCACCTCCTAACAGCAAAAGATTTGTTGGTTAGGCTAGTATTAGTACTTCTAATTTATCTGAACATCAAAAATATTAAATTATTTGTACACAGTTGCCATTGGTACTTGAAAACAACAACTCAATACTTGTGGTAGCGGAGTTTCATACAGCTTGGCATTTTTTACACAGTACATGTATTTTAACCATTTAGAACAAGGCTAACAGTAATTTGATGTACAGATTGTTAATACATGTACAGTGTTCGAAATACCTGTCTGCAGTCTGCAATCTGCAGATAGATTTTCAAGATTGCAGAAGAAAAATTTATACAATCTGCAATTTTGCAGAAGGAAAAATAAACTCCAGATTCAATAGTTTACAATGTAGCAAAGTAGAACTCTCTGGCCCAAAGGACAGACAACACTTAAGCTCCTGTTTTGAAGCAACAGGAGCTTCTTCATTAATTTGCATCATCCTTGTCTTAACTTGTCTATCTTTTGTTTCCCTTTGGACTTACTCTCTGTGGAGAAGGATCTATAAAGTCTGAAATTAAAAAGAGTGATAGATTAAACTTAAAAGAATTCCAGTAATGCTACAGATTTACAAAGCTATATATGATTTAAAAAAGACATTAGGCTCGTTCTCATTGAAATGTACAAAATGGTGATTTTTTGGGTCGAAAAATCGATGATCTGTTTTTTCAGGCAAACCTACCTTACATTTTAGGAAACCATCTCAATTAATGATAACCAAAAAAGGACAGCTTAATTTTCATGGGAAGTTACCGAAAATTTATGCACTTAGACAATACATACGTAAACAATGCAATTTTAAGTGCGGCAAAAACGCTGGAACATCAGCATGAACTGGATGTACGATAAAGCTTGTATTCATGACATCACCTCAAAAGCCATTAGTTTAGGCGTCAGTATCTATGAAAGTACTTCTGTCAGCCCATTATTAACTGGTAAATATACACGTATCGAACACACTAAGGTAGCTAAGTGTAGTGTAGAAACGTAGCAAAAAATATCTCTGGAAGGAAAGAAGAGTAGAACATTTGAGTCTGTTGACCCCACAGAGGGTTATTTTTGTTCGGAACTATATTTTTTCTACTTTATTTTCAACTATTATGTTTATCAGGGGTCGAAATAGATTTTGGGGCCAACTTGCACTGGTGCAAATGAAAAGAAAAATACTTGCACCGGAAGAAAAATAGTTGCACCCTCCAAAAATACAGAAGTGATGGGAAACATCCGCTGGCAGCGACGTAGATAGTAACCTTCTGTTACTTACAAAAAATGAAGAAAAACTTCATGGATTCTGGTTTTGTTCCTTTCCACTCCAGTTCTTTATTAATTAATATTATTGGGTAATTCTACAGGTAGTAACAGTGGATAAAGCAAACTTGCACCATGGTGCAAGCAGGCAAAAAATTAGTTGCACGACACCAAATTTACTTGCACCAAGTTGCACACAGAGGGTTATTTCGACCCCTGTTTATGGTGGATAGGGAAGGGAAATTCAATCTCTTGTTACGTATTTTCCACTACAGGTGTAACTTCCGTTACCGGTAACGGATGTTACAAAACGGACGTTCTTGTTTATTTCTCCAAGAAGATCTGCAGTTTTTATCTTCATCCTTTGAGAACAAGGGGGCATAAGTACGGACATTTTAAAACCGGGCGACTTTTTATATACCAGGTGAAGAACCTAAAATTGAAAGTAAAAACAACGGTAACGGATGTTACATTCATTACAGTAAAACAATTTGTTCAGCGAAGGTGGCTACAAATGACAGCACACACTTTTTTCTTCTTCTCTTAGAAACCTAGAAAACTTGCTAAAAGTCATCAAAATGGCAATTTCTTGTCTTATTTGTGACTCTATCTCAACTGCACGACCGTCTTACTTGAGCGGTAACGGATGTTACAGAACTTGGCGACAGGTATGAAACACCTCGCACGGCGTACAAGAATAGTGACAGGAGCGATCTGACTTGATCAGTCAGAGGGCCTGGCCATCCGACTTCACCAGGCAGAAAACTACTGCCGTAATCAAATTGCTACGATTTAGGTTGCTTTTTAAAGTTTCTATTTCGTCTCAGGCGACAGCCGATTTTTAGGGGGAGAAATCCAACCCGCGACCATAATTTCTCTCAAGTCATCAATCAAACCTAGGTTTGTGGTACATTTTTCGTGAAACATAGTAAGTGTAGTGGGAAAGTAAAGAAAGCAACGATGGGGTCCATGATTTGGCTCATACCTAGTCGTAAAGAGTGGCGACAGCATTTTGTACATTTGAATGAGAACGAGTGATTAATGGTTTGAGAAGGTTGTAGTATGGAGGCTTGTGTATTTGCAGAAAGTATTTTCAAGTTGCAGAAGAGTCAAAATTTTGTTGAAAATACTTTCTGCAAATACAGCACTGAAGCACTGAAAGAAACTATTTTGACCACTGATGCATATGTATCCTGTTCTTTAGGCACTATGTACCAGAGCTCCGTATCCTGTCAATCCCTAACCTGTACCACCTCAAGGTAACTTAAGGAATATTTAACTTCTTTAGCATACAGCATGTTTTTCTTTCATCTGACATACGAAAACAAGATCTTAATAATATACACCACAGAAAGATTGTGTATATACTGTAAGGAGTTTGATTATTGAAATCTATAATTAAGGTTTGTGCAAATGAGCCAGTTAGCTCCTGTTATTTGAGTACAGGAGCTAAAAGTTATCCAGTTGCTTGAGTAACAGTTTCTTTGTGTATCTCTTTACCTAGTTGTCTAAACTTAATGAACAGACATGGTATGAACATGTTTAACTTGTTATATTTTACACTGCTGATATTGCAACTTATTAGTTGATATTGTTAAAGGTATATATAGTACTGACCTATTTAGCGACATTATGAAGCTTAGTACTGACCTATTTACTTGCAATATTGTTAAGCTTATTTAGTTCATAGTACATGTACTCACTTATTTAGTTGAATGTGTATATGTTAACCATGCAATATTTATTTCTCTGTTTTTAACACTAGCAAACAATTCAGCGCTACTTTTTTAGTTGCGCTGCCACATGCTAGAGATTGTACCTATCGATCAATCAATAAACAATTATTATCATTATTATTATTATCATTATTATTATACAGGAGAGTGTGGTGCTGCTGTCTCTTATAAACCCACTAGAAGAGATGACTAATGTCACCCTGCTGTCGTGTGAAGAGGGAGACCCAGAGGACACGGAGAACACAGCAAAGGTACAGGATATGTATCATGAGGAATGAATGACTGGGAAAGAAAATATTTCTTGACGTTTCTGGCTTCATTCTGTGGGATTGAAGTATCAAATATAGAATATTTACATGCGAAAGCACCCAAAACCACAGATATTTGTTTTCTTGAGAGTGGTTTGTTTTGATTCATAATAATACACTAAAATTTTCTCCAAATTCGCCAACAGCTATTCAAAGGTGGCCTTCATCTTGCTGACATGGAAGTGTCTTGAGCTATTTTTGTTTTGCAATATACCTTTTGGTGAGTTAAAAAAGCTAACAAAAGATATGAGCTTAGCTGGATAACGATGACGGAAAGTAAATAAACCAAGTAAGTTGCATGCCTCAAAGAAGTGTGAACACTCACTCACTCACTATCCGGTTAATCGTCTGTTCAACGGTTCCCCGTCATCCGAGAGACTTGGAAGTGATGGGTATCACTTAGGAGGGAGCCCGAAGGACAGCACAGGACAGAAGACAGTGGAGAGCGGTGGAGGCCCGCACCGTCGATAGATGACTACAGCGGCGAAGATGATGATGATGATGATCCGAGGGTTAGACCTGCTTGCACACAGATGCCGAGGCTTGATGGGAGCCTGCCATTTGCCTCTGTCCTGTGGGTTGATGTTCTGCAGGTTTAGGTGGACAAAGGCTTCGTTCCTTTATGTTGTCCATCCATCTCTTCCTTGGATGCCCATAGGTTTTGGCCATCTACATCTATTGTGATGATCTTTCTGGGCCACTTCTCACTTAACACGTAGATATATGTTTGTTTCTTTAGATTGTCCTGCCGAGTCAGGAGTTGATCCTGTCTGCCCGTGATGATGCTGCTGAGTATGATGAAGGAGACAACGTCATGGACTTCAAGGACGATCCTGAGTAAGCAACCAAACATTTCCATTTAGGCCATAGCACAGTCAATGTATGGTCATCAGAAACTGATAGTCATATATTGTACAAAATTCGGCTATAATTGTGATGGAAATTAAAGTAAGAACCATTTCCATCTGGGGCCCAGGCACATTCATTGTATGACTGTCAGAAACTGAAGGATTTTTTAGGATAGTCATGTGTATATTGTACAAAATTCGGCTGTAATTGTGATGGAAAAAGGATGTCTTACTCTTAGATCCTTGTCTGTGATTGTTATGCCTCAGCCTGCTTAAAAGTCTATGACAGTAAATGTCTTACAACAAATGTGACTGACTACAAAACTGTACCTGCACATTGTATGTACACAGGAGATGTACATTTGTAATAGCCCAACATCAATTAAATATGGCATGTACACCTTTGTGAAAGGGTATAGTCCAGCGGCATAGCTGGCAAAATCAGCTGAATTCTGCACTTCTGTCTAAAAGCACCAAATTTGGCACAAATGTAGTTGAATATATACTAAATTTGGATATGGAGGCATTTTCATTTCTGGCCAGGAGCGCCATGACGCCATCTTGAATTTAGAACCCCCAAAGTAGGCGAAGCGTTCTAGTGCCCTGATTAAGGGGGAGGGGCAAAAAATTAAACATCAATATTTCTCTCTGAAATATATACACAAACACTTTCAAAAGAAAATATAAAAACCACTTGTGCCGTAGTTTGACAAAAAAAAACTTTTTTAAGAACCATGTTAAAGAAAAAAGCTCAGGAATCTATGTTTACTGGGTCGTACCATTAATTTGCAGGGTGGTGATATTCAGAAAGGCCAACAAGATCAGCTTTGTGGTCAAGGTCACACCTATGAAGGCTGTAGGAGATGTGAAGGTGAGATTATGATAATTTATGATGTCACACGGTCATGTCCAATGCTTATATCTGCCTACATAGTACACAGGTCAATTTCTTTATACTTTATGCAAAAATTCAGACCAAATCATACATATACATGTACATAAATATATTGTAAAGGTGTCATAAGGCCACACCAATTTAATTCCTTGGTTAACAGATTCGCCCGCTTCATTTTTTTCTGATTTGCAAAAATTAAAAATTCATAATCAACTGCAAAATGCTCATATTTTGCCCTGAACAGTTGAAAACAGTCCTTTTCTTCCTAGTTTTCACACTTATTCCATCTTTGAATGCAGTGGTATCATTGAAAGTTCAAAATTCATTGTTTAAATTTTGAACCAGCCTGGTGTGTTGACTTCATGGCTCCTATCGTACCATTTTGGGCCATAATAGGATGCCTAGGCCTGTTTTTATTTTCATTTTTTCTTTCGCCAGCCCACATTATTTTTCTAGAAAAATCCATTAACCAAAAAATTAGATTGGTGTGGCCTAATTTAAAGTTTTGGAGTTGTAGCAGAAAAATAAAGAGAATGGAGAAAACTACATTAATTTTGTATATACATTTTGATTAAGTGAAATGGAAAATACTTTAAACTTTTACATGTATGAAGATGTTGAGATATTGTTGTACATGTATGTATGTTATAATGCAATTTGCATGTTTCATTAGATTTCCTTTAATAGTACAACTACAAGAACATCACAACTCAAAACTATATACATTTTGATTAAGTGAAATGGAAAATACTTTAAACTTTTACATGTATGAAGACGTTGAGATATTGTGGTATGTATGTTGTGTTACTTGTGTATGTTATAAATAAATGCAATATGCGTGTTTCAATAGATTGCCTTTAAGATGAAGTACAACTACAAGAACATCTCAAAACTATATACATTTTGATTAAGTGAAATGGAAAACATAAAACTTTACATGTATGAAGATGTTGAGATATTGTGGTATGTTATATATGTTATATAATGCAATTTGCGTGTTTCAATAGATTGCCTTCAAGATGAAGTACAACTACAAGAACATCACAACTCCACTGGGGGCTAAGGAGGAGAAGGAGACACCAGTGGTGTGGCTGGAACATCATGTAGACATCGACCTGGGACAAGTTATACCATCTTAAGACATCTTAGTGTTAGGACTTTGTCTTAATTAGGCCACAGCAAATAATTTTTTATGGATGACATCAGCGCGCTCATTAATTTTCGCCTGGTTTTGGAAAAAAAAAAGAAATTTTGTTGCCCTCTGACAGTGGTTAACATGCCAAAAATGAGCAAAGATGTCTGTTGCCATGCCGGAAGGTGGTTGGCAGATAACTATGAAGACAGGAGACAAAAAAGACTGATTTAATGTTTTGTTTCTTACTTTGATGCAGTGATATGTGAAGCTTGCGCTGTGTATATGTGATGTTCTCACTGAATCAAACAATTTTGTACAATTATTGAGTCAAAATTTGAGAATGTAGGAACCTTGTTTTTTCGGCCCGCCTTGTTTTTTCGCCCACTCGCATTAGATTTGGAGTCTGTGGAGGATGTCATCCATAAAATTTACATGCTGTGGCCTTATACTAATCTTTGTAAAAGAAAAGCATATTGTTTTTGCTCTGTTTTGTTCTTCCCTCTCAAACACATGAGGTCAATGACCTGGACCAGACATCTGTCACCCTGGTAACTGGTGCTGTAGCAGACACCCTGTGGTATTGGGTTACATTATGTAGCAAGCTGCAGGACAGAGTTGGACTCCTGTCAGCATATATACATGTGAATAATTATGTGTGTTTGAGTAAAAATAGACAGAGCAGTAGTCTGTTAGCTATAGGCTAGACCATGTGAAGGTAAACATGCATTTGCCCTTTGTACTAGCATGAGCAAAACTGTATTCTAGAAGGTTATAATGATTAGTTTTTCGTGGTGCTGTTTACAAAAAAAAATGTTTAGGAGGGGATTTGAGATAATTCTCTTGGAAATGTTTGCCTTATATTACTGATGTATTGAAAGAAGAATATTTACTATAATCTGAAGATCTGTGTAGGTGAGAAATAACTTAGGTCTATTCCTGTGGTTGTCTGTACAAGTAAAACAGATTAATATGAGAACATTTAATAGTTAGTAATCATATAAGGCCACACCAATTTAATTTCTAGGTTAACGGATTTGCCCGCTTCAAAAATTCAGAATCAACTGCAAAATGCTCATATTTTGCCCTGAACAGTTGAAAACAGTCCTTTTCTTCCTACTTGTTACAGTTATTCCATCTGTCAATGCAGTGGTATCATTAAAAGTTCATTCATTGTTTAAATTTTGAACCAGCCTGGTGTGTTGACTTCATGGCTCCCATCATACCATTTTGGGCCATGATAGGATGCCTAGGCCCATTTTTATTTTTTCGCCCGCCCGCTTCATTATTTTTCTAGAAAAATCTGTTAACCAAGAAATTAAATTGGTGTGGCCTAAAGAACAAGGTTCAGGTAGTAGTTACAGCAAGGCTAACCATACCATCAAAACTGACAAGGTTTTCTCACATTCAAAATAAAGCAACCATTTCAATGAGTCAACAAAGTTTAAACTCTGGCAGAGTTCCTAAACCAATATATTGTGCTTATTCATCTGAATCGTAGTGAAAGAAAACAGGATATCCCACTTGAGCGCCCACTAAGCTAATTGCTATACAAACCCAAGTCACTGCAACATTCAGTGATGTATGAAAAGCAGAAGTGTTCTGTGAATAAGTAACTAGGTGGCCTTCAGTTGATGTGTGTGTGTACAACAATGAAGATAATACATTTAAAGCTCCAGAATACAACAAAATGGCCTTCATTGAATGTCTTACTGTACTGTTGGCAAGGAATTCCAAAGTACCATTTACTTAATGTTTCATAATGCATAGAACATTGGAAATATTCAGAAAAATAATAAACAATTAGAATACACTGGCATGGGTTCATTATTGATAGATCAAAGGCTATAAAATTCTTCATCTATTATACTCAGTTGTCTGTCTCTTGCTTGAAAATGTATACAAAACATTAAATGTATACAGTACAAAACATTCAATTGTATATGTAAATGTATAATACCAGCAAGAAGAAAAATCCCAGAGGAAAAGAAGAAAGGGTTAGGAAATGAAAATGAAGAGTCTCACTAAAAATTATCTTTTTTTTTTTACATTTTTGTCTTGGCATGATCATATTGTCATAGTTCAAAAAATTACATTGAGATGATATAGTGGAAGGTACTAGTAACTTTTAAGGGTGTGTCTATAAATACATACTATTGTAGTGGCGCCACGGATATGCTTGAGTAAACATGAATGATGATTCATGTCATAGAGGTAACCGGACGGTAGGTCGTTGACCGAAAGGTCAACAATTAAGGCGTGGTGGCAATTGTGAGTAACAAGGTGGGCAAGTTCTCTAGAAAGGTTTTCATTCGCAACACACAAAAACACACTATAAACACTAACTAGACTGTACACATAATGTGAATGGTATTTCCAATATCCTACCTAATCAGATACTAATGTTGCTGTACTACTGCGTGCCATATATGTGGTGTGTATGTGCGTAGCCTCCATAGCATGCCAAAAACTGGGGGTTTGGGAGGTCTTCAGGGTCTTTGGGAGCTTTTATGTGCTATTTTCTGATTGCATATAGACAACATAGCCGGCCTGGTTGAAGTGGGCTAATCAGAAAACAGCCGAAGACCACCAAACCCCCAGTTCTATAAGGGACCCTACGGTATTTACCGGGGGGGGAGGCCGGTGCGTACGGGGGGAGGGCCAAGGAAAAATGAGAAGGGGCGGGGGGAGGGCCAAGGAAAAATAAGAGAAGGCGAGGGGAGGGCCAAGGAAAACTTTTTATCACAATTCTTATACCTTTTCAATGCTTTGAGAAGTAGGAAAGTACACGCTATATGTCCTTGGCAGCCGGTCACGGAACCGAAAATGCGTGTGCGCCTTCGCCCGAAATTGGTCGCCCCCGAGTATGATTGGTTTCTTCCATATCTCCCATAACTCTTGTCTTGGCGTCGTCGGAAAAAGATGTCGGTACAAAATCCCAAAATCCCCGACATTTTCGTTCAGCCAAAAACGCAGCAACCTTCGTGAGCGTAGCAAAGTGCACCAGAGGATACGTGTGTCTTTGCAGAACCTTGATGCGAGTGACACGTTGGACAAGTTGCATGAACGAGTGGACAGCACGACGTCAGATTTTGTCGAGCGAAAATACTCCGGCCTGGCTTCTGTGCGTTCCCCGCGATCGGAAAATGATTTAACTGATCCGGTCTATAAAGAGGCGGCATTTCTTTTGTATTTGGTTCTTTTTTTTCGTCTTAACTTAGATGTATCGCGAACTCTTTATTTGCCCCGTTCCGTGAAATTTAGTCGTCCAAAACATAGATGCATTTTCAATATTCTATTTTCTCGGTCGTAAAATGTACCAACAGGCACATGAATGTACTGAGAACATCAGTATTACTTCGTTGCTTATTTGCTCAGAAATGACTCTAAAACACACCAGAGAGACTCTCAATTTTAAAAATTTTCTGGGGGAGGCCCCCCAAACCCCCCCAACGAGAGGGGGGCTTCCCCCCTCTCGTGCTCTCCCCCCGCGCAGCGCTGACGCGCAGCGCTTACGTGGCCTTCGGCCACGTCAGGTGGTGCGCCCCCCCGTTCACAAATTTCTGGATCCGTGGATGAAA